CTAGTAACTAGCAACCCTCTGGTAATCTCTTCGGCCCTGAAAAAATAAAAACACCTTTCACCCCAACCTCAAGTTCACCTGGACCATCTCTGATACCTCTCTCTCCTTCCTGGACTTCTATGTCTCCATCTCTGGTAACTGCCTCAAAACCGACACCTATTTCAAGCCCACCGACTCCCACAGCTACCTAGACTACACCTCCCCTCACCCACCTTCCTGCAAGAATCTGATCCCCTACTCCCAATGCCTCCACCTCCGTCTGCTCCCAAGATGGGGCATTCCACTCCCGAACATCCCAGATGTCCTCGTATTTCAAGGACCGCAACTTCCCCCCTTTAATGGTTGAAAATGCTCTCGACCTCTCCTCTTGCATTTCCCACACCTCTGCCCTCACATCCCCTCCCCGCAACACAAACAAAGACAGAATTCCCCTTGTCCTCATGTATCACCCCATTAACCTCCGGATTCAACGTATTATTCTCCGTCACTTCCGCCACCTGCAATCTGACCCCACAACGAAGGAGATATTTCCCTCCCCATCCCTATCTGCCTTCCGTAGCGACTGCTCGCTCCGCAACTGCCTCGTCCACTCCACACTCCCCACTCGCCCCACCACTTCCGGCACCTTTCCCTGCAACCGCAGGAGGTGCTACACCTGCCCCCACACTTACCCCCTCACCCCCATCCCAGGCCCCAAAAAAACCTTCCACATTAGACAGATGTTCACTTGCACATCCGCTAATGTGGTATATTGTATCCGCTGTTCCCGATGTGGCCTCCTCTACATCAGTGAGACCAAGCGGAGGCTTGGAGACCGCTTTGTAGAGTACCTACGCTCTGTTCGTGACAAATGACAACACCTGCCAGTCTCGAACCACTTCAATTCCCCCTCCCACTCCCACTCCCTGCACGATGTGTCCATCCTGGGCCCCCTCCAGTGTCACAATGATGCCACCCGGAAACTGGAGGAACAGCACCTCATATTCCGCCTTGGGAACCTACAGCCCAATCGTCTCAATGTGGTCTTTACCAGTTTCAAAATCTCCCCAGCCCCAGCCTCATCCCATGACCAGCCCCCCCTCTCATTCCCGCCTCCTTGACCTGACACAACCTGTCCATCTTCTCTCCCACCTATCCGCTCCTCCCACCTCACTAACCAATCCCCACCACTGCCTACCTGCACTCACCTATCACCATCCCACCCACCTTCCCCAGCCCCACCCCTCCTCTCTCTATTTATTTCAGAGCCCCCTTCCCCTCCCCCATTTCTGAAGAAGGGTCCTGACCCGAAACGTCAGCTTTCCTGCACCTTTGATGCTGCCTGGCCTGCTGTGTTCCTCCAGCTCCACACTGTATTAGCTCTGACTCCAACATCGGCAGTTCTTACTGTCACTTCTAGTAACTTAAGTCAGGTTGCAAATAGGTGGAGGGATTGTGATTTAAAGTGCATTTTTTATTAACTTAAACCTCTTCAACTGCATTAATCAAACTTGACCGAGTTCCTACTGTCAAATAGAACAGAGAATATTTTGAAAGCAATTTCTTTTAATTACTTTTCAAATGCTGCCCAGTTCCGTTGGGTCAGAGCAGATTTTGCAATATGCAAATAAATTTGAATGAAAACTCAGGGATGGGGAGGGGGGAAGTATTTTCCTAATGAAGCACCTAATTTGGGGTGTAGTTTATGCCATATAACAGCACCCTCTTGTGGCTTTTGTATATGTGTCTCTATCCACATGGCACACTGTTCTCTATTCTGCCTTGCACATGCTAGAATTGTAATTGTGGCCAAAATCGAATCTTAGCTCCCCCAGCCATGTGTCAGATTTGAATTGGAAGGACATCCAGCTACACCCACCATTATTTTAGGTTTAGCCCCACCATTCTGTTGAAAACACTTTGCCTCAGTAGTTGAAAGTGTGAGCTAGTAAGAATGCTTTGAGGGGAATAGGGTACTTCATAGAAATATACAGCACAGAAACAGACCCTTTGGTCCAACTCATCCATGCTGACCAGTTATCCTAAATTAATCTAGTCCCATTTGCCAGCATTTGGCCTAAACCCTTCCTATTCATAAACCCATCCAGATGCCTTTTACATGTTGTAATTGTACCAGCCTCCACCGCCTCCTCTGGCAGCTCATTCCATACATGCACTACCCTCTGTGTGAAAATGTTGCCCCTTAGGTCCCTTTTAAATCTTTCCCCTCTCACCTTAAACCTATGCACTCTAGTTTTGGACTCCCCCACCATGGGGAAAAGAGCTTGTCTATTTACCCTGTCCATGTCCCTCGTGACTTTATAAAGCTCTATAAGGTCACCCCTAAGCCTCTGACGCTCCAGGAAAAATAGCCCCAGTCTATTCAGCCTCTCCTTAAAGTTCAAACCTCCAATCCTGGCAACGTCCTCATAAATTCCTTTCAGGTTTCATAACATGCTTCCTATAGCACCTGATGCCTGAGTGTTAAGGAAAACCAACAGGACATCTCCTGAAATAACCTTTGGACGCTGGCATTGAGCCACAAGTCTGCTCCTTGCCTGAGGGTGCAGTAAATAAAAGCAAGTCTCCTTCATCTCACTGTTATTTCATTCGACTCTGACAATCCTGCTCAATGCCAGACAATGCTGCAGTTTCCATTCTCGCGTTGACTATAAATTGTTCTTGACTGGGTGTTAGCGGATTCGTGGTGACTTCATGTGGCTTTAAATGTAAAACTGATTGTAAAATCTATCAGACATACATTGGCCAAGAGGCATGTAAAAATATGAGCATCATCACTAACTGGAATACCTGAGAATGCTACACGTTAATGTCAAAGTACATTGCAGGATTTGTATGATGGTTTGTGATGGTTGATTAGTTTTTAAATGCTTCACCTCCGAGTTTGCCTGTTTTTACAATCCTGCCAAGACCTTAATTCAAATTATCCATGAGATGAAAGGAGCTGATTGTTCTCAATTACTTTAGATGGCATTATGCAGAATTTACAGCAGGGAAGTCAGTCAGTTGACCTGTGTCAGGGTATACCACACAAGCAACCTCACACCCAATGTCATCTAACCCTATTCATATAACCTCATCTGCTGCATATTCCTTTCTGCTCGTATACTTATTTAGCTTCTCCTTAAATGCGCCTGTGCTAGTCACTTCAAAAATTACATGTGGTTGTACAACACTTTAACCGATTGAGAGACATACATTCACCAATCTCGGTATTTTATCGCGGTGCTGCCTTGTTCTCTGGGCAAGGGATTCTGTCCCTGCTTGCTGCTAGAAGTGAATGGAGTTTGTCATTTGGTGGATGCAATGGTCTAGTGGTATTATCAGTGGACTTTTTTTTAAAAATCCAGACACCCAGGTATTGTTCTGGGGACCTGTGGTTCAAATCTGACCATGGCGTACGGTAAAATTTAAATTCAACAAAACAATCTGGAATTAAGAGTCTAATGATGACCATGAATCCATTGTCAATTGTCGGAAAAAAATCCACCTGATTCACCAATGTCGTTTAGGGAAGGAAACTTCTATCCTTACCTGGTCTGGCCTGTATGTGACTCCAGACCAACAGCAATGTGGTTGACTCTTAACTTCCTTCTGGGCAATAAATGCTGGCCTAGCCAGTGATGCCCACTCCCATGAATGAATGTTTAAAAAGTCGACAGTGTTGATCCATGTACTTTGTGAAGCCCAACAGCTTTAACTGCAACAAGGGCTAGTAGCAGAATAAAGGAAAAGGCTATGGGCATCTTAGCCCATCAAACTAAACCCCACCAACTCTATCTGACACCAGGAACATTTGCCTGCCACCCCTCCCCTTTTTATGCACCTGTCCCCTGAGATTTTCAATCCAGTTCCTGCCCCCTCCCTAGGACCTACCAGTCTATCCCCAGTGAAAGCCCACCACCCGATTCCTCACCTCACTCCTGATTTAGCGAGTCCCAGCAAGAGGTCACTTCTTCTGGGTGGCCGGCAGACACAAGGCCTGTCTGAGGCCACTTCATGATCCTTGCAGAGTCGTTGGCGCATGGGGATGTTTGAGGGGTGAGAGGGGAACTGGGAGGTCCTCCTTCTCAACGTTTAGCTTAGTTTGTGGCTTTGGTGGGAGGGATCACTGCACTGTGGAATACCATTGAATCCAGCCCCATGTTTGTCAGGCCAGATGACTAAAACATAACGGAAGAGGTAGATTTTAAGGAACATCTCACAGGGAAAAAATAAGACAGAGAGGTATAGAGGGAATCCCAAAGCTTGGGCATTGAAACATAGAAAATAGGAGGAGGAGTACACTATACGGTGCTTTAAGCCTGCTCTGCCATTCACTATGATTATGGCTGATCATCCAACTCTAGACCCTGTTCCTGCTTTCTCCCCATAGCCTTTGATCCCTTAAGCCCTAAGAACAATAATTAACTCCTTCTCGAAAGTGTTTAGTGCTTTCTCTCAATCACTTTCTGAGGCTGAGAATTCCGCCAGCTCACCACTCTCTGTGTGAAGAACTTTCTCCTCATCTTGGTCCCAAATGGTCTACCCTCTATTCTTAGACTGTGAGCCCGGGTTCTTGTCACCCCCGGCCTTCAGGAATAACCTTCTGTATGAACAAAAAAGATGAAGTGGCTGAAATTGGGAGTGCTCATTAGATTAAAATTAGTTGACACAGAAATATTGGGGGTTTGCAGGGCTAAAGGACATTTCAGAAATGGAGACTGGAGGGGTCCATGAAGCAAATTAAGAGCATGGATGAGACTTTAAAATCAAGGTGACCAGCAGTCAATGTGGGTTAATGAGCACAGGGGAGCTGGGTGAGTGGGTTCCATGCAGGTTAACCTCAATGATACCCCCGTCTGTTTTCATTGAAGACAATTGTAAGAAACCTCTTGCTCAACTCTTCCAAAGAAAAGTACACAAACCAATTTGTTCAGCTTGATTTTCCATGCCACTTGGTTAGTTTATTATTAGCAGTATCTTAACTAATGGTGTCCATTGTTTTGCTCTTGGTGCAGGTGGAGAGGTTCCTTACACTACTTTAGCTACTCGAATGATGATGGGTGTTTGGTGGCTTTTTGCTCTGATCGTCATATCCTCCTACACAGCAAACCTGGCAGCTTTCCTTACAATCAACCGCATTGAAAACTCCATTCAGTAAGTACTAACTTCAGGTGCCATTATCATGCAACTATTTCATGGTTAGATAAAGTGCGGTGAATGGATTCTTGTTGCATCTGAAATTAGGACCTTCATGATTCATTTCCTACAGTGACAAAATCCAATTTTCTACAATGACAGCATATCATAATGGAATGAAATCAATATATTATCTTAGCACTTATACCTTCAATGTATAGTCAAAACCACAAAACTGAATGGGAAAGAATGATTAAAGTAAATTTGACTATGTACAATTGTGTGACTATCTTCCATTTGCACAAAGCTAAAAGCGACTAGAGTATTTCAATTCACTGAACTGCTTGGATTTTCTTAAGCTGCTATCTGCATGAAGTTTTCTTTAATTCATTCATGACACTTTAGTGCTGACAAGGCCAGCACTGGTTTCCTATTTGTAACTTCTCTTGAGAAGGTAGTGGTGAGCTGTCTTTATGAGCCACTGCAATCCAACTGATGGAGTTATGGAGTTATACCAACAATGCTGTTAGGGAGGGGTCACCAGGATTTTGATCCAGCAACACTGAGAGAACAGTAATACAGTTCCAAATCAGGAGGGTGTGTGGCTTGGATGGGATCTTAGTGGCGTTCCCATGCATCTCCTGCCCTTGTCCTTCCCTGCACTAGAAGTCTTGTGTTTGCAAGGCACTGTCAAAGGATTCTGTAGGTTACTACAGTGAGTCTTGTAGATAGTACACATGGCTACCACTATGCAATAGTGTGAAGGGAGTGAATGCTTCAGATCATCAATGGGGTGCTTCTTGACTGTTTGACACTCACACAGGCCAACTGTTGATTTGTAAATGGTTGACAGGTTTGGTGGGGTCAGGAGGTAAGTTAATTGCCATAGAGCTTATGACGTCTTACGTGCTGTTATAGCCATGGCATTTATATGGCTGTTCCAATTAAGTTTCTGGCCAATAGTAAAGTTAAAGTTTCCATAGTCCCAGAGGGCCATAGTGCTGCTCTCTCATTCGAGAGAGATGACTGGTGTTGGTTAAACCTGAGGGTCAACTTGCCTCATGCTAGGGGACAGGTTGAGAAAGAAAGTCCTTCACAGTAACCTCAGCTGGTGTGGGTGGTGTATCATTAACTCAATAGTCCTACTTGTTTACTTCCCCTTCAACGAATCCTTGTTTAACTGAAATTACACACATGGCTTGGTTTACAGTAGCCTACTGTGCAGTGGGTTACAAAATGAACTTAATTGCAATTAGGACCCAAGGATCAGAACACACACATACAGGAATGATCAAGCCCACAACAGAATTCAAGCTCTACTTTTTGACAAAACGTACTATCTGACCTTAAAGATGTAAATTGTGAGATGATTGTGAATCTTCCTTCAAGTAAAAGGTGTGGACCCCAGTTATCCTGTCTTTTTGTGGGGTGTTTAGAATATTCCTTGTTTCTGACCCCCTCCCACATCACTTTTTTTTCCAGTCAATCAATGACTGTATTGGTCCCACGAACTGGAAAAAGTCATCAATGTTCTTTTCAATTTCTATCTTCCTTTCACCTTCACCTAGTCCATTTCTGACCCTTCTCTTTTTGTCTTCACTTCACTGTCTCACGATACACTATCTATTAATATCTATTATAAACCCACTGACTCCCTCAGTTAGCATTTCCTCACACCCTGCTCCCTGAAAGAACTTTGTCCCATTCTTCCAGTTTTTCTATTTCAGTTGCATCTGTTCTGATGATATTACTTTCCACAGGGATTTATCCAACACCTCAATTTTTCCTCAACTGAGGATTCTGTCCTATTTCCCACACTTCTTCCCTCACCCCTTCCTCTTCCAGAACAGTTATAGAGTTCCCCTTGTCCTCACTTTCCACCCCACAGATTCCATATTCAAAAGATGGTTCTCCACCATTCTCAAGGCCTCCAATATGATGCCACTCCCAAATACATCTTCTTCTCCCTCTCTTGACATTCAGCAGGACAAAAAAAGAGGTAAAAAAGAACAATGGTTCCGTAGGTCGAAGAGGCGGGGATGGAGCCAGTAAAGGTGAGTGTAGGTAGGGAGTTAGGAAGGGGATAGGTCAGTCCAGGGAGGACGGACAGGTCAAGGGGGCGGGATGAGGTTAGTAGGTAGGAGATGGGGGTGCGGCTTGAGGTGGGAGGAGGGGATAGGTGGGAGGAAGAACAGGTTAGGGAGGCGGGGACGAGCTGGACTGGTTTTGGGATGCGGTAGGGGGAGGGGAGATGTTGAAACTTGTGAAGTCTACATTGATACCATTGGGCTGCAGGGTTCCCAAGCGGAATATGAGTTGCTGTTCCTGCAACCTTCGGGTGGCATCTTTGTGGCACTGCAGGAGGCCCAGGATGGACATGTTGTCTGAGGAATGGGAGGGGGAGTTGAAATGGTTCGCGACTGGGAGGTGCAGTTGTTTATTGCGAACCAAGCGTAGGTGTTCTGCAAAGCGGTCCCCGAGCCTCCGCTTGGTTTCCCCGATGTAGAGGAAGCCACACCGGGTACAGCGGATGCAGTGTACCATATTGGCAGATGTGCAGGTGAACATCTGCTTGATGTGGAAAGTCTTCTTGGGGCCTGGGATGGGGGTGAGGGAGGAGGTATGGGGGCAGGTGTAGCACTTCCTGCGGTTGCAGGGAAAAGTGCCGGGTGTGGTGGAGCTGGAGGGGAGTGTGGAGCGGACAAGGGAGTCACGGAGAGAGTTGTCCCTCCGGAAAGCAGATAAGGGTGGGGAGGGAAAGATGTCTTTGGTGGTGGGGTCGGATTGCAGATGGCGGAAGTGTCGGAGGATGATGCGTTGGATCCGGAGGTTGGTGGGGTGGTACGTGAGGATGAGGGGGATTCTTTTTTGGTTCTTATTGCGTGGACGGGGTGTGAGGGATGAGGTGCGGGAAATGCGGGAGACACAGTCGAGGGCGTTCTCGACCACCAAGGGGGGGAAGTTACGGTCCTTGAAAAACGAGGACAACTGAGATGTACGGGAGTGGAATGCCTCATCCTGGGAGCAGATGTGGCGGAGGCGAAGGAATTGGGAATAGGGGATAGCATTTTTGCAGGAAGGTGGGTCAGAGGAGGAGTATTCTAGGTAGCTGTGGGAGTCGGTGGGCTTGAAATGAATATCGGTTTCGAGGTGGTTGCCCGATATGGAGACAGAGAGGTCCAGGAAGGGGAGAGAGGTGTTAGAGATGCTCCACCTATCCTCTCCTCTATCCCTCTTCTATCCGCCGCCCACTCTCTCCCTATTTATTTCGGAACCCCCTTCCCCTCCCCCATTTCTGATGAAGGGTCTAGGCCCGAAACGTCAGCCTCTCTGCTCCTATGATGCTGCTTGGCCTGCTGTGTTCATCCAGCCCTGCACCTTGTTGTCTCTAAAAAAGAACAGTAATGCTCAGCAATTAACATATCAATTAGACTGGAGCACTGTTCTGAGGTATACAAGTTGAACTAGAATGCTTCATTCACAAATTTTGCTTTCTTTCCTTCTGGATAGCATTCTGACGCTGTTCCTTTCTTGACATCCTGGCCACTGACCTCCAATATCTTATCCCATTTCCATGGGACCTTTCTATGCAATTGCAGGATTAACTGCTGTGTCCTCTTCGTATTTTCAACTAAGTACTTTACAAACTTCCAGACTCAAGATTGAACACAACAACTTCGGGCCATGAACTGTGTTCCCCATTTTGAAATGTTTTCACCAGCACAGAAGAGACCCTTCAGCGCATCAAGTCTGCACCAACCATTCCATACTAATCCCACTTTCCAGCACTTGGCACATTAGCCTTGAATGTTGAAACATTTCAAGTGCTCATCCACATTCTTTTCAAAGGTTGTGAGTTTTTTTTTAACCTTTTGTTTTCAGATCGAAATAATCTTTGTTCTGCCATTAACATCGAGTCAGGATCAATGTTTATTTCTTTGTTACAACTATTACCATTCCCTTTGCCTTTTGTTCTGCATTGTATTTGGTATTTAATCTTTTCTGGATTCAGTCACAGGATGTAGACATTACTAGTCAGGCTAGCATTTATTGCCTATCTCTAATTGCCCTGGAGAAAATGTGGTAAACTGCTTTTTTGAACTGCTGCAGTCCTTGTGGTGTAGTTATGCTGACAGTACTCTTAGAAGGGACTTGCAGAATTTTGACCCAGCGACTGTGAAGAATAGCAATATTATTCAAATTTTGGATTGTGTGTGACTCAGAGGCGAGTTTTCAGGTTGTGGTGTTTCCATGTGTCTGCTGCCACTGGGTATGTTTGATGCAGAGATCAATAGGTTTCTAGATATTAAAGTTATATAGTGATGGAGGGGTAGTGTGGTAAAATGATGTTGAGATATAAGATCAGTTGATCCAGTTGAAGGTAGAGCAGGGTCAAGGGGTGAAATAGCCTACCCCATTTTTATTTTCTATGTTCATATAAGCTTTATATGTTAATTAAATATTAAAAATAAAGACCAATAGTTTTTGTGTTCGGTGAGGGCTCTATGAGCCGTACAGATTGGGTGGGTAACCTCCTTAACTAGCATTGCTACACTTCTTCTGTTCCTTTATTCTCTACCATTCCTGAACAACTTATGTCCAGGAGTATTTAACACCCAGTCTTGCCCTTTCTTAACCCAGGTCTCCATCACTGCCATGATATCGTAATTCCACACTGCAAATCATGTCTGTTAATCCCCAACTTTATTCACTTTACTCCATGCATTTACACGTTAACTCTGTTTTGGACTTCAATTCTTTCTGCCTTACTCCAAATACAGCTACTAACTTGCTAGTGTCAACTGGATCCCCAAGTATTTTGCAAACCCTCGCATTCTCCTGTAATATTCTCTCTTTGTTCTCACACTCTGACAGGTTGGTTTAAAGCCCTCCCAACAGCACTAGCAAAACCGTCCTGCAAAGAACTCAGTCTCAGTTCTGTTCAGGTGTAACCCATCTAGCTTGTACAGGTGTCATCTTCCTCAGGCCAGCCCCAGCCTCCCCGAGAATCTAAAGCC